AAAAAATTTAGTGTAGAGGGAATATACCTTAACATCATAAAGGCCGTATATGAAAAACCCATAGCTAACATCTTACTCAATGGTGAAAAACTGATAACTTTTCCCTTAAGATCAGGAAGAGGGTGTCCACTCTTGCCACCTTTATTCATCATGGTACTGGAAGTCCCTAGCCACAGCAATCAGATGAGAAAAAGAAATTAGAGGCATCTATATTGGTAAAGAAGAAGTTAAACTGCCACTATATGCAGGTGACATGATACTATACATAGAAAACTCTAAAGAGTTCCCCCCCAAAAAACTACTAGAGGTAATAAATGAATTCAGTAAGTTTTGCAGGGTACAAAATTAATACCCAGAAATTGGTGGCATTTCTATACACTAATAATGTAGCAGAAAGAGAAATTAAGTCCACTTACAATTACACCAAAAAGAATAAAATGCCTTGGAATAAACCTAACCCCAGAGGTGAAAGTACTATACTTTGAAAACTATAAAATATTGATGAAAGAAATTGAAGGTGACATAAACAAATGGAAAGATATTTTGTGCTCATGGGTTGGAAGAACAGACATTGTTAGATGTCCACATTACTCAAAACAATTTTCAGATTTAGTGAAAATCTCTGTTAAAGTACCAAGAGCATTGTCCACAAAGTTAAAATAATCCTAAAATTTGTGTGGAACTGCAAAAGATCCTGAATAGCAAAAGTGATCTTGAGAAAGAAAAACAAAGCTAGAGATATCACAATTCCAGATCTCAATATACACTACAAACTGTAGTAATTAAAACAGCATGGTACTGGCATAAAAATAGACACATATCAATAAACAAAATAGAGAGTCCAGAAATAAACCCACACTTATATGGTGAATGAATCTATGACAGAGGAGGCAAGAATATACAATGAGGAAAGACAGTCTCTTCAACAAATAGTACTGGGAAAACTGGACAGCTCACATGCAAAAGAATGAAACTGGACCACTTTCTCACACCGTACACAAAAAATAAATTTGTAATGTATTAAAGACCTAAATGTGAGACCTGAAGGCATAAAAATCCTAGAAGAGAACATAGGCACCACTTTCTCTGACATTGGCCATAGCAACATTTTTCTAGAACATCTCCTAAGATAAGGGAAACAAAAGCAAAAATAAACTATTGGGGTTATATAAAAATAAAAAGTGAAGGAACATTACAAAGTGAAAGAAACCATCAACAACACTAAAGGCAGACTATTGAGTGGCAGAAGATATTTGCAAATGATATATTTTAATAGGGTTAATATCCAAAGACTATAAAGAGCTTCTACAGTTCTTCACTAAAACCCCCAAATAATTCAATTCAAAAATGGGCAAAGGACTCAGACATTTTTCCAAAGAAGACATCCAGATGGCCAACCAACACATGGAAAGATGCTCAACATCACTCATTATCAGGGAAATGCAAACCCACATCACCACGAGAGAGCACCTTACACCAGTAAGGATGGCTAAATTAAAAAAAAAAAAATCAGAAATAACAGGTGTGGGCAAGGATGTGGAGAACAAGGAATGCTCACACACTATTGGTGGGAATGCAAATTGGTGCAGCCACTATAGGAAACAATATGGAGATTCCTCAAAAAATTAAAAATAGAAATATCATCTAATCCAATAATTCTGCTACTGGATATTTATCCCAAGAAAATGAAAACACTAATTTGAAAAACAGTCTGCATCCCTATGTTTATTGCAGCATTATTTTTAGCAGCCAAGACATAGAGGCAACCTAAGTGTCCATTGATAGTCAAATAGAGAAGGAAGATATGGTATGAAATTTTTTAATTGGAATTTTAACTTCTTTAAAAAATATTTTATTTATTTATTCGTGAGAGACACACAGAAAGAGGCAGAGACATAGGCAGAGGGAGAAGTAGTCTCCCTGCTGGTAGCTTGATGCAGGGCTCGGTCTCAGGACCCCGGGATCATGACCTGAGCCAACGGCAGACGCTCAACCACTGAACCAGCCAGGTGCCCCGGAATTTTAACTATTTTAAAATGTACAATTCAGTGGCATAAACTACATTCAAAATCTTGTGCAACCATCACTACACATTAGCAATAACTTTCCATTCTTCCTTCAGGTTTCCAGAGGTAATGTGAATCCTGCTTTTTGTCTCTATGAATTTGCCTATTCTAGATATTTCATATAAGTGGAATTACACAGTATTTGTCCTTTTGTGTCTGGCTTGGTTCACTTAGCATAATGTCCTTGAGGTTCATCCATGTTGTAGCACATTATCAGTACTTCATTCCTTTTAATGGCTGAATAATATACCATTATATGGATAAACCATATTTAGTTTATCCAAGGAAAGGATTTTTAAAAAGATTTTTTAATTTACTTGAGAGAGAGAGAGAGAGAGAGGAGAATGAGCAGTGGAGAGGGACAGAAGAAGAGAAATAGAGGCAGACTCCTTGCTGAGCAGAGAGCCTGATACAGGACTTGATCATGACCTGAGCTGAAGGCAGATGCTGACCCCACTGAGCCACCCAGGAAAGGATTTTTAAAAAGGACATTAAATAGGTTCTATGGAACAAAGCCTGGAGCTTATGTAACCAGTGTGGGGCTTTTCCCCAGAATATCTGGGTAAATCGAAGCTGCCTCTCTACTGTGTGCTCTGGGTAAACTACTTTGAGCTTCCATCCCTCCTATGTAAATAGGGATAAAGAATCTTGTGCAGACTGTTTAATCATTTGAGAGAATCTATGTAAATCACTCAGCATAAATTTTGACACTTAAATAAAAAAAATACTCATGAATGTTAACTGTTATCATAGCTTATAAAAATTATTGTTTAGACTTCTTCCTAACGCAAAATCAGATAGGCAGGACTTTTTCTAAAACATCTCCTCCTGCGGAGAGAAATAAACCAAGTTGCTTTTTTGGTACATGTTTTCAATCCATTGTTTCTTGGGCTTGGAAGTTCTGAGTAAAGGAAAGATACCCCCCTCCTGACCGAGAGGCAACCTACCCTGGTCAGTCCAGCCTGACCTCCTTTTTAGATGGGGGCGACTCTAGGGCTTTGCTTTCCAAGTCTAAGCCCACACCGTGGAAGCACAAAAGGGCCAGATGGCTACAGGCGATGTCTGATAAAAGGGAATAAGATGTAGTTCCTGTCGACTGTAAGGGGACTCCCCAGTGATGGGAACTAGTCATAGACTGGGAGGAGGTTGTGGCTCTTCGAAAGCAGATGGACCTGGATTCAAATCCAAGCTTTGTTGTTTACAGGTCGAGTTTCCCAACCTGTAGGGCTGAGAGAAGTTGTCCATGTGAGCCACTGCCCCAGGGCGTTGTTGGCAGAGGCACCAGTGAGGAGTCCCCCAAAGAAGCTGGAACATCAGATTGAGGTGTCCTGTTGCTCATTAGTCTGTGGGCTCTCTGCACTAGTTACCCTGGACACCTTGGCAGTGGGGAGCCTTCAGTGTGGTCTTTCAGTATCACCCTCCGCGAGGGAGGAGCATGACAATTTTCTATCCATTATTGGTTGAGATTCAGTAATTCTGAGTAGAACTTTAAGCCAGCTTGCGCAACCTTGAGATGTAGCTCTGCCCTCTTATTCCCAAAAGTGTTTTTATTTAGTTGTAAAATTGATTTTTTTTTTTTTGGTGTAAACCTTGTTACAACAAAATGATCCTCACCTACACTTCAGATGCCCTGAGAAATCAAATTTATATGCTACACTTCTGCTTTGCTTGTGCCACTGACTAGCAAGGCCATGGGAGTGTGGGCGGTACAGTTACAGAGTATTTTCCAAAACCTATCGTGGACACTCCTAACAGAGACTTATTGGACTTCATTATAATGACTATAATAATGATCGCTTATACAATACAGGACATTTAACTCCATTACTAAATTTATTCTTTCCAAAAACCTTTTGTGCCTGGCATATAACAGAAGACTAGCCTTCATTTTACAGTTGTGAAACTGGACTCGGACATCGAATGCCAACAGATGGCCTAGTTGGGGGGTCGGTATCCACACTTCTGACTCCTGGTCCAGTGGTCTATTAAATAAATAAATAAATAAATAAATAAATAAATAAATAGAATGGAATTAAATAAATTCCAGATTTTTTGGACTTGGTGGTTTGTGATACGGTTCACTTGACCTCCCTCTGCCTGGAAAGGGACCAAACCTGTGATCTTTCACTCTCTCCAGATTTCCAAAGAGGAAGCAACTCTCAACCAGAACAGGAGCCTAAGCCTGGTTTGTAGCCAGTGGGGCATATCGGTGGCTTATTGCCATGTGCCCTGGGGTAGCAGTAAATTGATATTTGCTGATCTCCAAGCCTCTGGCAGAGATGGGGAGGGAGGGCTGGGAAAGTGACATTTCTGTAAATAACCACACCTGGTTCTAAGAGCAGAAGGATTGGCATATCCCTGTAGCCTCATCAATTACCTTCAACCTTTTGCAAAGGGAGCCCAGGGGAGAGAATCTCTTCACACTCTTCACATTATTTATAGACACCTCATCCTGTCTGTACTCAGGGGGGAGCATGGTTTGCTCAGCAGCGACCTCCTTCCAGATGTGTTTATATTTTCCCAGGCCCAGTGGAAAGCATCCTTCAGCCCCTCCACTCCAGGGAGCAGAGGGGATGCCTGACATTGGGACATAAAGAAGATGTGAAGGGGAAGACATGAGCAGGATGCCTGAATTTCTCAGTTAGATTCCTGTATCTCCCAGCGAGCACTGATTGAATAGCCACTTTGCTGCGGAAGAAGGCAATTCAGGCAATTTATGGTTAAATAAACATGCTTTGCAAGCAGGTAGACCTAGATTTAAATCCCAGCTCTGCCATTTACAAGCTGTGTGGTTTGGGTTAAGCTTTTGCCTCCATGTCCTCATCTGTAAAATAGGATAATAGCTCCTCTCGGGGTCACTGGAGTGTTTGAATGCAAAGGGCTACTGACACAGCAGATGATACGTATAAGGTGCCTCTTCTTCTTTTTTTAATTTTAAATATGGAACAGTTCATAAATTTTCATGTCATCCTCATGCAGGGGCCATGCTAATCTTCTCTGCACCATTCCAATTTTACAATATGTGTTGCTGAAGCCATCACTGGTGCCTATTCTTGTAAGAGACTACCACTTGCAGCGTGTGTGTGTGCGTGTGCACGTGCATGCATACGGGGGCACACGAATATGATTTTGATAGACACAGGACTCTAGAAACAGAGACAATGTAGGCAACACAGGCAGGGAATTTTTGGTGAAAAAGTAGTGATTAAAATCTAGAGAAGGAGAGAGCTCTATGGACAGGACGAGTCAGAATGAACTCCATGGTGGCAGAGAGATTGAGTTGCCAGAGGGACGGAGGTATGTTATTGCACCATCAGTGTGCCCACTGCCCACTGTGGGCTGGCTGACTGCTCCAGGGTAGCTTTTAGGAAAAGGTGGTGTAGTCTACGAAGGTGGCCTGGACCCAGGGTGCAGCGTCAAGGCTTGCTAGCCTCTCCGGATGGAGGCCTTTTGTTGGCATACCATACTCCACGTGCAGCATTTGTTAGCTAATCCAGCAAAATGATGCTGCCTAGAGTAACAAAAAACAAAAAACAAAACAAAACAAAAGACACATTTTGAGTGAGTTTAATGGATTTTCTTGCTCAGTTCTCTAGTTTTGAAAGGCCTACCTCACCAAAAATATAGTGATTACCTGGTTTATGAACTTCTTACATTAAATAGTTTTTGTAACAAATTCAAAAGTTCACAAAGGTCGACAGGATAGTATAATGAACCTTCATGTACCTATTACCCAGACACAAAATAAACTCACAGCCACTTTCATTTCATCTATACCCCTCCTCCTGTCCAAATACTCAACACACATGCCCTAAATAATATCATCTGTAAATATTTGTGTATGCTTTTCTAAACAATAAGAGGCTCTTTAAAAGTACGATCTCAACATCATTATCACATTGGAAAAAATTAGTAAGTTCTTAATATCATCAAATATCCAGTGTTCAAACTTCCACAATTGTCTCTTATTTTTCCCAGTTGAATTAGGATCTAAATAAGATTTACACATAGCAATTGATTGATATTTCTCTTTGTCTCCTCAATTTATAGATAGCCCTGCCTTTCTTTTGACTCCTTTATAATTCATTGTTGAAGAGATCAGTCATTTCCTATTTTCGAGATAGGACTGTCCCTCTTGTATTGTTTGCCTTGCTCCTTTGTCCCCAATATTTCCCATCAAATGGCAGTTAGATCTGATGACTTGGTCTGATTTCTTTCTTTCTTAACAAGACTACATTATAAGTATTGTCATGCACTTCTCTTGGCCAGCACATACGACTAATTGTCTCTTTCTGTGATATAACTGCCATTGATAATCATTGTCTAGATTCATGATTTCATTTGGGGATTTGCAAAATGGTGGCATTCTAGTTCTAACATTCCTTCCTCATTTATTACTTGGATTCTTTCTGTAGAGAGAATTATTTCCTCATCAACTACTTAGTTAACTTATGATACAGTTTTATGAGGAAAATCAGGTTAAATGTTTCTTTCCCTATACTTACCTGCATTCAGAATAGTGCATCAGTTCCCTTATATCCTCCAGAGGTGACCAATGAGTTCTTTTTGTTTTATAGTATCATTAGGAAGGAACTTACGAATTTAAACACATTCCATGGGTTTCAATCCATGGCAGTTGTTCAATCTGTGCTCAGATTTTCTCAGCTCTGGCCAATGAGAACCTCTAAGTTGCTTCGTTCTGACGCAGCCATGACCCCAGTCTTCATCTTCTGGAAAGAAAAGATGCCTAAGCTTGGAAATGGAAATGTCTGTTAAAAAGAAAATATATTATGACTTTATACTGAGATTTTCTTTCTTTTTTTTTTTTTAAAGGATTTTATTTATTTATTTATGAGATACACAGGGTGAGAGAGGCAGAGACTCAGGCAGAGAGAGAAGCAGGCTTCATAGAGGGAGCCCGATGTGGGACTCGATCCTGGGACTCGATCCTGGGACTCTGGGATCCCGCCCTGAGCTGAAGGCAGACGCTCAACCGCTGAGCCACCCAGGTGTCCCTGTGTTAGCCATTTGTATATCTTTTGGGAGAAATGTCTGTTCGTGTCCTTGCCCGTTTCTTCACTGGATTATTTGTATTTTGGGTGTTGAGTTTGATCATTTTTTTAAAAAAAATTATTTATTTTTTTGAGAAAGACAGAGAGAGCGACAGAAAGCACAAGGGGAGGAGAGGGAGAAGCAGACTTCCTGCGGAGCAAGGAGTCCCAACTCAGGACTCGATCCCAGGACTCTGGGATCATGACCTGAGTTGAAGGCAGACACTTAACCAACTGAGACACTCAGGTGCTCCGAGTTTGATAAGTTCTTTATAGATTTTGGATACTAGCCCTTTATCCAATATACCATTTTTTAAATTTTTTTATTTTTTATTTATGATAGTCACACACAGAGAGAGAGAGGCAGAGACATAGGCAGGGGGAGAAGCAGGCTCCATGCAGGGAGCCGGACGTGGGATTCGATCCTGGGTCTCCAGGATCATGCCCTGGGCCCAAGGCAGGCGCTAAACCACTGCACCACCCAGGGATCCCCCAATATACCATTTGTGATGATCTTTCTCCATTCCATAGGTTGCCTTTTAGTTTTGTAAGGTTGTTTCCTTTTCTGTGCAAAAGCTTTTTATTCTGATGCAGCAATCAATACACTAGTGTATTTTTAATTTGCCTTTGTCTTATTATGTACACAATCAAGATCTTCTTATGTAGATAAGAGACATTTGTATTTAGTTTTCTGTGAATTGTCTGTACATTTCCCTAGCTTTTTTTTTTTTTTTAAAGATTTTATTTATTTATTCATGAGAGAGAGAGAGACAGACAGAGACAGACAGAGATACAGGCAGAGGGAGAAGCAGGTTCCATGCAGGAAGCTGGACATGGGACTCGATCCCGGGTCTCCAGGATCACGCCCTGGGCTGAAGGCGGTGCTAAACCGCTGCGCCACCCGGGCTGCCCCATTTCCCTAGCTTTTTTCCCCACTCTACACCATTATTAGACTTTAATTCTTTCTTTTTTAAGGCTTTTTATTTATTGTAAATATTAATCCTTTATCTACGATAAAGTTGAAAAATGTCCCCCAGTTTGTCTCTTTACTTTCCTTATGGTGTTTTTGTGCTATGTAAGTAAATTTTTTTTTCTTTTTTTATGTAATAAATTCATTAATTTTTTTTCCCCTTATGGCTTCTAGATATTGAGTCAGAGGTAGGAAAGTTCCCCTCACTCCTGGATCATAGAATAATTCAGATTTGTTTTTTCTATATTTGTATAGATTCATTTGATACATTTAACTTCCTAATCCACTTGGAGTTTATCTTGACACACAGTTTGGGGAATAATACAATTTTATCTTTTTACCTATAGCTATTCAGTTAGCCTCATGCCTTTGAGTAAAAAGCCATCATTTCCCCCACTAACTTGAGATTCTGGCTTTATAATATGCTAGATTTCCAAATGCAATTGGGTCTATTTCTGGATTTTCTATTTGTTCCACTGGACTATGAATGTTACACTGCCACACTCTTAATTAGAGATACAGTATGTCTTAATATCTGACAGCACTCTCCCTTTCTCATTTCTCTCTCTCTCTTTTCTCAGGCTTTTCCCCTCTTGGGTATTCTTGCTTATCTGTTCTTCCAAATGAATTTTATAAAAAAATTATCTAGCTCCAGAAAGAAACTTACTCATATTTTCATAGAATTATATTAAATTTATGAACTAGGGATCCCTGGGTGGCGCAGCGGTTTGGCGCCTGCCTTTGGCCCAGGGCGCGATCCTGGAGACCCGGGATCGAATCCCACGTCGGGCTCCCGGTGCATGGGGCCTGCTTCTCCCTCTGCCTGTGTCTCTGCCTCTCTCTCTCTCTGTATGACTATCGTAAATTAAAAAAAAATAAATTTATGAACTAGATTACCTTTTATGGACTTAGACCTAAAATTTCTGATATTGAATCTTCCTAAGAATATGGTATATCTTTTCATATACACAGGGTTATTTTTGTGTGTTTTTTAATTACTTCGTAGTTATTCTTCCTGAAGGTTTTGGACATTTCTTGATAAATTTTTGCCTGGGTATTTAATTATATTTAGTATTCACAAAGGTGGTTTTCTCTTCTAATATGAACTGATTTTTGTTTGTATATAGGAAGACTTGATTTTTGTATATTGATTTTATACTTTACTAAATTATTTTGTTTGTAGTAGTTTTCTAGTCCTGTAATAGTTTGTATTTTCTGGATACATAATTACATGATTCTCAGCTCTACTAATATGATGGATAATATTAATAGATTTTAGAATATTGAATCTATTCTACTTGGTCATGATGAATGTTTGAATGTGCTGTTGGATTTTATTTGCTAGTTATTTAGGTTAGATTGGTCGATAGTTTTGTTGCTGCAATCATTTTTAGGGTGATATAGACATTATATTCACTTCATACGGTAATTTTAAAAAATAGAACATCCCTGAGAAAAGCCTGGGGCTGGAACATTTTTGTGGGAATGGTGTTTTTTTACTTCCTCTATTTCTTCTGTGATATTTTATGTTTAGACTTTCTGTCTCCGCTGGGATTGATTTTGACAAGTTGTATTTGCTAGAGACTTATCCATTTCATCTACTTTTCCAAATTCACTTGCAAAGTAGATTCATATAATAGCAGTGCTCTGTCTGATGGCTATTTCCTCTTTGTCATTTCTAATTTTATGTATTTAAAGTCCTCCCCCTTTTTTCTCAATTGCATCAGCTAACAGTTTTTTTTTTATTATTATGTTCTTTTCTTTTCTTTTTTTTTTTTTCAAATAGTGAACTTTTGGATGTATTTATTAGTTCTGTCTTTATTTTATTTTATTTTTTGTTATTTTTTTTAGTTCTGTTTTTAACTCAAATCTTTTTCAAGGTATAATTAACTTACTGTGAAATTTAGTTTGATGATTTTGAATAATTTATACACCTATGCAATAAAACATTAATCAAATAGAAAACGAGTCTATTGTTTTAGAAAATTTCTTCTTCCTCCTTCCAGGCAACCTCCTACTG